AAATAGTTTCGAAGTAAAAGTTGCGAAAAATTTACTCTGATAAGCGGGGTGTTACAAGTGAAGACAGATGATCCGCAGCGAAATTCGCTTCTCGAAACACATGCACCAGTTCCAATGTCCATTCACGATCCCAGAGTTCTCGTATTGCCCGAACGAGGCTGTCATGAATCCCACTCACATCCTCACGCCCCATAACCATATTAATCACGCTACTGTTGTCGGCTTCCGCCACCACCTTCCGAGTGCCCAACTCCCACGCAAGAGAAAGCCCATGGAAGAGACCCCACAGTTCGGCTAAATGCCAATATTCATCAAAAATCCCCCGAGCCAGCGGCCCTGTGAATCACGAACTAGTCCGCCCGCATAACCACATCCCATATGGGATGAAAACGCCCCATCCGTATTCACTTCACCCAATCCGGCGGTGGTAAAGACCAGTGTATTAAGCGAGTTTCATACTGTCGGGCTATGGATCCAAACTTCGCCAACCTGGCATTTGCCGCAATGCACCCCTCCACTTGGCTCCGTATATCACTAACCTTAACATCTACCCGCCATGTGATGTTAGAAAATATAGATGCATTTCGCCAGGCCCAAATCCTCCAACACATAAGAGAAGGTTACCGGCCATGCCGTGTCCGAAAACGCCGCATCTGGGGTCAAATTATACCAAAGCCAGTCAGAGAGATCCATAGCCAAGAAGCTTCCACGCGCAGCAGCATGTACCAAATGAGTCCAGATTATACGAGCCACAGCACAATCCCGAAGGACATGAAGTGTGGACTCCTCCTCACCACAGAACGCACAATCCGCGGACTCAGCCAAATGTCGTCGTCGGCATTCCACATTGGTAAGTAGACGATCACGGGCAGCAAGCCAAATGAAATGCCGAACACGCTGAGCTATTGGAATCCCCACACCAGTTTCCACAAAGGTCGATCTGCGAAAGACGCATGGTTTGCTAAGAGAGAATAAGCCGACTTGGTCGAGAAATTCTCGTGACTCGTGAGCCCCCAGATCAAGCGATCTTTGTCGGCACTAGCTTGCGGCGGCAAGGTTGCCGCTATGCATAACACGATTGATGTCGGAAGCAGGCCGACAAAGTTGCTCCATATCCAACCCCTATGATTTTTATTTACACGTATGTGGAGACTCGCCGGTTGGAAGGCCTCCTCGCTCTCTATGGCGGGACGGGTTACTCTTGCTCAGTCGGTGTTTGTTTCTCTTCCTTACTTTTCCATGCAAACAGTTTTACTACGCCATGGAGTGTGTGATAGTCTGGAAAGGAAGTGCCGAAACTTTATTTGGGATGGCACGGCAACAACACGGAAGGTTAGCCTCGTGTCTTGGTCTGAGGTGTGCCGACCTAAGTCTGCCGGTGGATTAGGAATACGCGAACAACGTTTGATAAACAAGGCATTGCTGATGAAGATGGCGTGGAATTTTCTCTCTAAGCCAGATTTGTTGTGGTGTTGAGTGCTTCGGGAGAAATACAAATTACAGCCTTGGGCGATGTGTGAGGATTTTGAGTTTCCCAGCGGTTCGACTGTGCTGCGTGCTATTCGAGATGTCTCGTCGGAGACGGTTGCGGGTAGCCGGTGGACATTGGGTGATGGCCGAAGCGTCCGATTCTGGTAGGATAGATGGTTGAACTTGCGAGAACCGCTGATCACCTTCACCACTAGTCCGGTTCCAGAAGACCAGCTACAAACTCCGGTTTATGCGTATGTTGCGTCGGACGGTAGATGGAATTAGTTGTTTTTTCAGGGTTGGTTACCGAAGGCGTATCTTCTCCGAATTGCTGCCATTTCGCCGCCGCTTGTATCTGGTGGGGCTGACGATATATATTGGGGCTGGTCGGAGGATGGCAGATTTTCTACGAGATCAGCCTATCGAACTTTGATACAACCTGACGTGGGGCGAGTCGAGGATCTATGGCGGGTGATATGGCGTTGGTCTGGACCACAACGGGTTCGAGTATTTTTATGGCTGGCAGCCCGACACAGTTTGTTGACTAACGAGACTCGCTTGCGGCGTCACATGGCTTTTAGCTCGTTGTGTCTGATCTGTTCAATGGCAGTCGAGTCTACTTCACACGTATTACGTGATTGTGCTACAGCGAAGTCGACATGGAGGAGACTCGTCCCGCGTGCGAAATGGTGTGAGTTTTTCTCCTTTAATTTTTGGGAATGGCCCTCGCAAAATTTAATGGGCCGGTTCATTCCAGAAGTCGATGATTGGGCCACATTATTTGGCATGACAGCTTGGTGCCTGTGGAAATAAAGAAACCTTGTGTTGTTTGAAGGTTTGGAGACGAGCGTGAGTCAACGCATTTGGGAGGTTGTTTCTTATTCGAGTCGAGTACCGGGTGCGTTGGTTGATAGTCATAGGGTTGGTGCATGTATCCGGGGCGAAACAAGTTGGCTTTCTTAGTCTGCTCCGTCGGTGTAAGTTTTAAAGGTTAATACGGTGGTAGCTTTGTCCCGACGACGGGGATGGCTAGTGTTGGGGGTGTTGTTCCGGATCATTGTGGGGCTTGGATAAGTGGCTTTATGATGAATATTGGTTAATGCTCCATCGTGGGGGCCGAACTCTGGGGTTTGTTCCAGGGTTTGCAGCTGGCATGGGATATAGGTGCTCGTAAAATTGTGGCAAAAGTTGATAACCAAAGTATTATTGACCTGGTTAATCGTGACGATACTAACGGGCCGCATGGGAGGCTTATTCAGGGTATTAAAGAGTTGATGGGTCGCCCATGAGATCTAGAGATTGTTCATGGCTACCGCGAGACAAACGTTGTGGCGAATTCTTTGCTTCACTAGCGGCCAAGGGAGGGGGTGGTCTGCACCGGTTTGATCATCCTCCGTTGGGGGCGGGTACATGGTTACAACATGATCTTATTGGAGTGGCTCACCCACGTCGGATCGTGATCGAGCGTTAGCGTTAGCTTCGCTTTCCTTTTCTTGTACCAAAAAAAAAAATTAATTGATATTTTTATAACCGTAGTTAATATGCAAAGTATCTGTAAAACATAACATAATTTTAATTCATTTTTAATTTAATCCTAACCTTGTATTGGCAATGTCAAGGTATACAATTATTTTTTCTGTAAATTAGGTCATGGGTAAAGAATTGAAGAACGATCAAAAAAAGTAAGTTGCACCGCACCCTTTTTTACTACCTAACAATCTTTTGGGACCGTTTTGCCCCTGACATTTTTTATTTAAAAAAAACCATGGTCGGCCGGCAATACCGGCCACTCCGCAGTTGGCCGGTTGACAAATGCGGTCTTTTTTTTATCAATTTTTTTAATTATGTTAGAATTTAGAAATTATAATGTTATAAATTATAATTTACTATTATATAAGAATTTTAAATTATTATGTTATAAATTATAATTGATTATCTTATGAAATTTATTATTATTATAGTAGAACTTATAAATTAATATGTTATAAGTTAGAATTGATTATCTTGTAGAACTTATTATTATGATGTTTGAAATTATTATCTTACAAATTAGAAATTATTATCTTGTATAATTTATTATTATTATGTTAGAACTTAGAATTTATTATTTTATAAATTAGAATTAATTATTTTGTATAATTTACTATTATGATATTAGAACTTAGAAATTGCCCTTATGCATAATTATCAAACTAGTACAACGCTCGTATATTACACGGGTGCTTGTTTAAAATTTTTCTTAACTTTTAAAATTAATGAGAAAAATTATTTTAAATTTTATTTTTACAAAAAATATATATTATTATATATTTTAGAATGACACTTGTTACATGTGCGATTTACATGTGTTATATTATAGTAATTTTTATAGCTTATATCATATAACTACCTGAAATATAAATATATTAATTGATAAATAATTTTATTTTTATAATTAACATTTAAAAATAATTTTATTATTGTTATAAAGATATATATATATAATTTAATTATTTCTGTAGTACCTTATTTTTTATTGTTATTGGTGGGTTGATGTGTCTATAACTCAACTACCAAAACATAGACTTAAAAAAAATAAATAAATAAATAAAACACTATCTAATCTATATCCAATCAACCCATGTAACTCAACCGATAAAAACCGGTTAAAGCCTGTGTTTTTTTTTTTTTTAATATCTAGCCAGGCTTAAAATCATCAAATCTTTTTTTTTTTTTTTTTT